CTCTTCCAACACACCTGATTCAAATGATCAGGATCGTTATCAGTCTTCTGCAGAGCTTGATGATGAGCTGATCATTTGAATCAGGTGTGTTGGAAGAGGGAAACATCTAAAACATGCAGGATTGCGGCCCTCAAGGACTGGAGTTCGACACCCCTGCTCTACAGGATGAAGTATGTATGGCTAATGGATTGATGAATGGAGAAGGTACCATTTAGGGCTCTCTGGCAGACAATCTTCATTAAGTCAAGTGAGTGAGATGCTATAAGGAGCAACTAAGGCCACATGGGTAGCAGGTTGTGGTAGATCAATGGGTCAAACACATAACTTTCACACAGGGTTAGGGCTTGAGCCCAGTCTTAAGTGACCTAATTTACCTTTTTAGCTTTATTTTTAGTTTTTAGTCACAGTTTGGTTACGGTTCTCAAACAAAACAACAAGGATATATTTAGGAAAAGATCATTGGTGAGTTAAAAGAGCGCTATCACAACTTTAGCCATGTGTTAGAAAGCCTTTTTTAATAAAAAAAAAAAAAAAAAGCCTGAAGTTAAACTTTTCTCATGTGCACTTGTTGCTCACAAATCTACAAATTTGCCATTGAAGGGTTTATGTTTCTAAATTGTGTTTAGGGAAAGCATCTCACCAGAATCCCTAGCTTTCTTGGGTCAGAAATGTTATGCTTTATATTCTGCTTAAACCACCAGTTGCCACCTCCCCTGACCTTCTGGGGTTCAATCTTTTTAATAACATGGCCATGTCCCAAGCAACCATTGCTCCCTTGCTTCTTAAAATTTTTGAATACTCCAAGCAAGAGAGTTCTAGCTAAATGTGAGCATGTTGTTGCCTTTCAATGAATGAAACGTCTTCATGCAATATGGACTCACAGCCAGTAAAGCTATCACCTAACTCTCTTTAGCGACAGCACACCATTCTATCAATGTGTTGGCGGCTCTGTGTCCATATGTTGACATATACACTGATTGAAATACATCTGCAACAAGTTTTTATATATAATTGGATTCTGTATGTGTTTGTGTGATTCAGATTGTGTGACCATGGCAGGGGAGGCAATGTTGTGGAAATTTTGTCAACAGTTTAACACTTGGACGTTTCCTGGGACTGATCTGTGCTGCAAATCGACAACAGATGCTTGTTACTCTTGGTGACAACTGGCAGCTTTTTGGCAGCCAATAACTCCGTCCTCCTCTTCCTGACTGAGAACTGGACGTATCTGGCCTGACACCAGCTTCACTCAGTCACACTCTGCCAGTCTACATGTCCTTCAGATGCCTATATGGCGCTGACTAAACAGAGCCTTTAATTCAAACAGACTTAGCCTCCATCTGTGAAGTAGAGAGATACGATAAATATTATCCTGGGAATATGATGTGATTAAATCTCTACAATGAATCCAAACTAAACTGCTTTAGAGAAGGAAAAGTGAAAAAAAAGACTTGTTTTCCACTTGATTATACCAGTAGTAGTGTTGTGTCCTGTGCAAATCTGATGCCTACAAAGTAAAGCCTGAGGTTAATGTTATTTTGTTGTTTGCAACGGGATACATTTATCTTGATATGCAGTCCTATGAAAAAGGATTTGCCTCTTTCCTTATGTCTATTTTTACATATTTCTCACACTTAAGTGTTCTCCAGCATCAAACTAATGTTTATATTTATTTAATACAACACAGAGATAACCATCAAAATACAAAATGCGGTTTTTAAAAGAGGTTCTATTGAAGATGTATTGAAAACCTATATCATCCCTGTGAAGAAGTTGCTGCCCTGTAAACCTAATAACTGGTTGGGCCCTCTTGGCAGTAACAACTGCAGGTATACATTTGTGATAGCTTGTGATCAGTCCTTCACATGGCCACAAAGAAATTATGGTCCACTCTTCACTGCAGAATAGTTTTAATTCCACCACAGTAGATGGTTTTCCAGCATGAACTACCCTTTTAAGGTCTTGTCATAGCATCTGAATTGGATTCAAGTCAGGACTCCAAAACCCTAATTTTGTTTTTGAGGTGGACTTGCTTGTGTGCTTTGGATCACTGTCATGCTGCATAACCCATTTGTGCTTGAGCTTTAGATCAAGAACTGATGGGTGAATATTCTCAAGGAGGATTTTCTGATCGAGAGCAGAATTTATGGCTCAGTCAATTATGGCAAATTGTTCAGGGCCTGTGGAAGCAAAGCAGCTCCAAACCATCACAATACCACCATGTTTCACTGCGGCTATCATGTTCTCCTTGTAGAATGCAGTATTAGCTTTACATAAGATGTAACGAGACCCCTATTTTCTAAAAAAAAAAAAAATTGCGTCTTTGACTCATCAGTCTACAGGATGTCATCCCAAAAGTCTTGAGGCTTCACCTAGATATTTTTTGCAAATGCCAGACAAGCTTTTATGTTCTTGTTGGTCAGGAGTGGTTTGCATCTTGCAAATCTCCCATGAATCCATTTCTGCCCAGTGTCTTCCTTATTGTGGAATCATGTATGCTGACCTTAACTGAGGCAAGTGAAGCTTGCAGTTCCTTTGATGTTCATCTGGGTTCTTTCTTTTTGCCAGACAGGTTCTATTTAGGTGAAGTGTAGATTCAACCAGCCTGGCAGTAATTACATGTGGGTGCGGTGAAACTGAACCCTATTGCTGAATGAATTTAGTAATTTGGTAGATTGGTAGCAAGGGGGGCAATTACTTTCTTCACATTGAGCAAGGTGGGGCTGGACAGTATTTTTCCTTCAATACATGAAATCATCTTTAAAAACTGCATTTTGTGTTGTCTTGGGTTATCGGTATTTAGCTTTTTCTTGTCATGATCTAAAACATGTGAGTGTGACAAATGTGCAAAGATAGAAGATATCTGAAGGGAGGCAAATATTTTTAACCATACAATTTAATTCTGACTTTAACTGACAAATAATAAAAAGCACATTTAATCGGAACAATTTACATTAAACACCACTCAGCCTGCAAACTGACGTTAGCAGTACCCTATTACTGTTGTGTAACAGTTGGTATGTTTTGCCTCACATATGATTGAGTACTGGGAGATTTTATCAACCTAAACCTGATCCAAGACTGAGCCGACCTTTCTGAACCGAAACTATTAATGACATTTAAAAAGCTCTCCGGCAGAACCAGGCTCAATATACCTTCCCATCGTTGCCAACCGCTTGCTCAGAGGTTGGGTTCTCAATTAAATTTGTAAGGTCTATACCTTACTTTGTGAAGGGCTGTGTAATAACATGTTGTAAACTGCGCTATACAAATAAAATTGAATTGAAGTGAATTAACAATTAGCTATAGAGATCAGACTCACCGTGTTACTGCAGGTTCTGTAGCGGATATTTTTGCCATCACAGTTTCTACAAAGCAGGGAAAAAACATTTATATTACTGATGAAAATCACCATCTATCCATCCATCCATTCATCTATCTAGAATAGATCTATCCATTCATAAACCATGCTTCACAAATGTATTAGACCACCACCCAGTGTAAGGTTTATGCCACAGCTGCCCTAAATTAACAGCATTGGTAATTACCAAAATTATGTTTTATGTTTCTGTAACAGTTAATACATCAGTATGTTGAAGTTCTTTAACCAAAATTCTATTTTTAATGCTGAAAGATTATTATTGTCGTCCCTGAATTTTCTGATTTACTGTTTTACAAAAAAAAAAAGAAAAAATAGAAAAACACATTATTACTTATTGATGACCATGTCAAATTATAGTTATTTACTTGCATTCTTGAACAGAAAGAAGTTTTCGTGGTTGAATGTTATGCTTGATTAATTTCTGGCTTCTCAGACAAGCCCAGTCAGCTGGCTCAGATTTGGGTCTGAAAGGATGAATTCTATTTGAAATTCTCCATTCAAGGCTTAAGAACAGCTGCTAAGAAACCATCATTAAGGCCTTCAAACATCCAGAAACAACTCAGATTTGCCAGAGAACACAAACACTGGACTGTTGATGACTGGAAGAAGGTACTCTGGACGGACAAATCCAAGTTTGAACTCTTCAGTCAGTATCGTCGTGTTTATGTCTGCAGAAAAGCTGGAGAACGTTTTGATACCAGATGCATTGCACCCACAATGAAACACAGTGGAGGTTTTATTATGGTATGGAGTTCCATTTGTGGAAACGGAGTGGGCAAATTAGTGAAAATCGACAGCATCATGAACAAGAACGTCTGCCACAACATCTTAGTGCATCATGGAATCCCTTTTGTCATATTCTCTGAGCCACTGAGAAGCTTTACATATCGTAGCTGGGTGTGTTTGTCTCTCCTTCATACCGCGGATGCTGCTGCACATAATGTGCCAACACATACACAAGCGCACACACACACAAATATGTGTTGACAGGTTGATCAGTAATGTATGTAACCTACTAACATGATGAGCAGCTTCTAGCTCACAGTGTGAGCTATTTCTATGTGAGCATAAACAAACTAAAGATGATTGATGACTGCACACATCCACAAACACATTTACATCCAGTGATACCTATGCAGTAAACCCCCACCCCACCCGCACCCACACACACACACACACACACCTGTAATGTTGTGGCACAATCCACCTGCAGCATAGCAGTCATCTCAGTACTTCACCAAGCTCCAGCTGGCATAGCCCAAAATGTCAAGTAAAGCTGGAGCCACACACACACACACACACACACGCACACACACACACACACACACACACACACACAAGCACATGCATACACACAAACACACACACGCAGTGTCAGAATGAACCTGAGCACTGTGTGAAATGTGCCACTGCAGAATGTTCCTTTCCCCATGACAGCATGGACACGCTGTTAAATCTGTTCGACCTTGTTAGCAACCATAACAACACCCGATCTGTTGCTGTGTGTTAACTGACACGAAATGCATATTTCTCCTGCTGGCTCACAATACCATTAGACCAAACTGGTAGCGGCTTATTTATCCTACTGTATAGCAGGCCTGGTCTAATCTGCCACTTAGTGCAGATAGGAAGCTGGGAGCCACACCACTGCCATTCAAGCTAAAACAGACAACAGCAAGCTATGGCTCCATATTGGTAGATGTATCCCATTGAAATGCCAGTGGTTGAATAACCCGTGTGTGGGTGTACACTAGTCTGTGCATATCTGTATGTGTGTGTGTGTGCGTGTGTGTGTAGGATGGTACATTATGTTTTTTAGGGTCTGGGACTGTCTACTGCTATGGCCATTAGCTGGTTGGTGGCTGTGCAACAATCCCAAAGTAAAAGGTTTTCCTTTTAATTATTAAATATAGCAAGCAGCAGAGAAATAAGGAAGCTACCTGTCTGCAGTTTGTGCAAGTACAATAGTTTTCTAGCCTTGTTTAATTGTATAAGCTTCGAAACACTCTTTCCATGTCCTTGCAACTGCTTAACAGCCCTGGTTTAGGATCACTGTCCTATGCTATTGATAGCTTGCAGGTTGTATTTCCTTGCGTCTTACAGTATATATTGGCATATTACTAACACCTGTTGATCAGTGGGTCAGTGGAATAGTGTGACACAGGTAATAAGATTGTGTAATGCATCATTTGAGTTCAAACCTGTTTTGCATGTACATCCTCATGTGCAAGCACAAGATCAACAAAACAGGGATCTGCTCCTCAAAAACAAGCCCCTTATGTCAAAGGTCTACAGGGAATTTTTAATCAGCTAGTGTTTGTTGATTTGGTCTCTTTCCATGGTGCTGGTCTTCAGCACACATTAGATTACATTTTCAACAGACAGAGGTTTACAATAGTAGGCAGCTGCGGAGTTTGGTCAGAGCAGTGAGTAATATGCTAAAGCACTCTGCAGAGTTGCAGAGAAGTGCAGGTTTGGTAGAAATTAAAGCCAGAGTGTTTTTTTTTCCCCTTACATTTTATGTTTATTAATGATACGTCCCAGTGGCAACAAATATATGAAAAACAACAGGGGGCCCAATAATGGAGCCTTGGAGAAGGAATAATTACCCATGAGTACTGAAAAGGTCCTTGACAAACATAGGCGAAGGGAGGGCAGGGGCCACAGGGGCCATGGCCCCTGCTGGAATCTGATTGGCCCCCTCTCGGCCCCCCCTGTGAAATACTGTCTTGTCATTGGGTAGTTTCTTTGAGGAGCGCTAGCTGGTTGTTACAGCGCAGCTTTATGGGGGCGGGGTGACCAGAGCATTGTGGTAGTGTTTCTGACGGGAGGGACTGGAACATAAAACAAGCACACCTCTTCTCTCACTTCCACTCTGCACTTACAGGACACTGTGAGACGGTGAGTGTCAAATTCAAACATGCGGTAAATTAAACCCAAACGAGTTCCTGATATGTTTTATCTTAACTCGTAGATTTAGCCATTATCTTTACTTCATCATTTCACATTTTGATGACAAAAGTTGATGTTATTGGGTAGAGAAGCTGATGAAACGTGCCAACTAGATGGTAAATAACCATCAAGGGGTTTCTGCATTATTGATTATGTAACACAAGATCTTGCTACGGTGTGTTTTTTCTTCTTCTTTTTTTTTTGAAACAAGGAAAATGTGCGAACATTAAATGAAGACACTTTACACAGAGATGTTTTGGGACCAGGACATTCCCAATCCCATGTTTGAGTTCCAGCTGAATGGTGTCATTTAGTCTCTGTTCCAGCAGCAGCAGGGCTCAGAAATGTCAGAAAGAGGAGCAGCCAGCATGTTTAGTTATCTGAACCCTATTCAGGACTTCATGTTGCCATACATAGAAGGTCTCTGGGGGTCCATTAGACCCCAAGAAAGAATATGTGAAAAATAATTCTTGCTTTTATACAATGTTAAATACATTTTCTGACAAGTTGACATATTTTTGGCTCCAAATGCATGACACATGCCCCTCTTTTTATATTTAAAAATAAAATCTTAAAAAATCAAAAAACAATACCTGTCACCTAAACTAAATACCCTGGGGTCCAAAAGAGCCCAAAAGTCCTGAATAGAGTTCAGAAGAAGCCATGTGAGGGTCAGACCAGTGAACCAGACAGGTTCAGGGGGACCATTCTGAGGACAGGCATCCAAAACAGGACCAGTCCAGCAGCTGTAGCCCATCATCAGCACCAGGTGAAATGCAGAGCAGGACAGACAGACATTTCTCAGAAGAAATGAAGAACAACATTGTTAATATAAAAGAGGAGAGCATTGTGTTTATGGGTGTATTTACATGTACATATCATTGTAATGTACCCTGAGCCATCAGGCTGTTATGAACATCAGTCTTCACTGTGAATCAGTCTGAGTGTCATGAGTTACCTTTGAAAGAAGCAGTTATTGTACATTCCATATTGTACAAGTACGTTCTGACCAGAAACCTTTTCCAGATCATGTTTATTTTGTTAGATCTATTTAATCAGGTTGTATATTTAGTCATACAATGTGAATACAAGTACAGAACACTTCTCAAGAAATTGCTGTAGGCTACATCTACGAATAACATAGTCATTGGGTGCCCCCCAAAATATAGCATTGGCCCCCTATTGGCCCCCCCTCTGTCAGAAAGACATAAGAAAGGCACGTCTGCCTTGCGACGTGCGTCTTAGACCACAAATTTTATTCCCATGGTACCTGAAAAATTGCATGTTTTTTGGGCTCCTCAGCAGCTCAACCGGATAAGATGGTGACCCATGTACAGCGGCTATAGTCCCTGATGCAGCAGCCGCAATTCGAGTCCAGCCAGCGGCTCGTTTGCTGCATGTCTTTCCCTCATTTTCCCAAACTCGGTCAATTAAGGATGAAAAAGCCCCCCAAAAAATAATCTAAAACAACATTTTTAGAAAATTGCACATGTCAATTGCAAACTCCTTGTGGGGAGACCAAGCTACACTCTGTGGCAACCTTGACATTTAGCAAAATTGACTTGCATGTCATGTGCGATTCTGCACAAAATTTGGACGCAGACAGGCTGTAGGAGCCCGTACAGTCGGTTGTGACCGAGGCTTACCCTTAGTCAGTGTGATTGGGACGTTACCCCTGTGTTCATTTGTGACCTTTCAGACTTCACCGCGCATTTAAGTGTGCTGTGAAGATCATATTTTGATGGATTATTATTCACTAAATAAAACAGGGACCCCCTCACACCTGATAGTCAGTCCACTGATTAAAAACACCTGACTATAACTTCCCTCTTAAATGGCCTGCTCATTCCAGAGGTTCACTTACTTTTCCCATTCACAAATATGTAAAATTAGATCCATTTTCCTCAATAAATAAATGACTGAGTATAATGTTTTTGTCTCATTTGTCGAATTGGGTTCTCTCCCTGTACTTGTATGACTTCTATGAAAAGATCTGTTTTAGGTCATATTTATGCAGAAATAAGATTATGCATGTAAGATTTGGGGTGGACTCAGAGTGGACCAGACTCGTCCCTGTACGACCCCCAACACAACTTCACCAGCTCAAGGTTTATCCCTCCATTGTTGGTCCTCACTATTTTTTACAGCAAACCACAAGCCTTCCAGTCTCAGAGATGCTCTAGTGCAGACATCTGGCCATAAAGATGCTTGTCAAAGTCACTCACGTCTGCCCACTTCTCCTACATCCAACATGTTATCTCTGAGCACCAACTGTTCACTTATTATCTAATATGACTCAAACCAGAACATGTGCCATCAACAAATCAAATCAAATCAAATTAAATCAAGTTTATTGTCATTTTGCTGTACACACACAGTAGTACAGACAAGATGAGAGAGCGTTTCTTCAGGATTATTTAACCAGCAAGTTTTGTGGAATGCACGTCTGGGATAAGACACTAAACGTTCACTCTCTCTGTCTCCTGAAGGGGCTGCAGTCCATGCGTGCTGCCCTTCATTGAACATGGTGAACTTCTTCAGGTCCTGGTAGGTCTTCAGGGACACAAAGACACACAATGGTGGGACGATGGTGAAGCCGCAGATGCTGCCCAGAGCTAGCTGTCTGTTTGTCCTGAATAATGTCGTCCCCTCCAGCTGTATGTCCGTCTGGGATGCTGTCATGGAGACATGTTTCTGTTAAAGCAAACACACAGCAGTCCCTCCAATGTCCGCTCTCTCGACAACAAATGTAGCTCGTCCAGCTTGTTGTCGAGGGACATTGGAGAGTAGGAGCGATGGTCCTGCTGGTCTGGAGGGGTTAGCCTTTAGCCTTTAGCATGAATCCCAGCTCTCTTTCTCCTCCTTTGTTTACGTTCATATTGTTTGCACTTCCTTGTCTCTCGGGTAACTGCCGGTGTAGTCTCCGATTGGACTCCGTGTTGGTGTCGTTTGTCCAAATCACAACTGATCGCCGCAATTCCAGCACCGTTCACTGTCCTGACGCCCAGCACAGTCTCCCGGCCGCAAGTTTTGCGGAATGAACGTCTGGGATAGACAAGACACTCAAAGCGTTCACTTTCGTTGTCTCCTCAAGTGGCTGCTGTGTCTATGCGCGCCACTGTCACCATGGCAACAATCATTATGAGATAACCATGAGTATTTGCTTCATCTGTGAATGATCAGCCTGTTGTGAATAAATATAGTGCTGGGCACCAATGTACCTGTAAAATGTACATTCTCAGCTAAAAGCAGTAGGACATTAGATTTCTTTTTTGTTTTTTGTTTTTTTTTAGCCAAGAATGGATATATTTCTGTTGTGTAGCTGTATAAGGACAGGCTGAGCTAGTGGGAGTAAATAGACCTTTGAAAGGGAGCAAGACACAGTCTGGCACCAGAGGAGGCAAAGCAACAGGCAAAGACAAGCGCCGTTCCAAAAGAAACATGAGCTAGACAGGAAGCCTGTGTGTGTGTGTGTGTGTGTGTGTGTGTGTGTGTGTGTGTGTGTGTGTGTGTGAGTGTGAGACAGACACAAAGAGTGTAATGGTACTTTGAATGATGTTGCAGGTTAAGCTTAATGTTCTCACTTTAGCCAGACCCTAGTGTTGTATGTGACACACAAAGACAGACAGACATGCAAATAGTATGTACCTTTTACCAGTGTAGATAAGCACATACCCGATTAAACACACAAGGCACTAATGCATGCATATAAACAGGCGATACAAACTTTTGCAGCTATTAATAGGACTTTGTGAGGGGGCTTAATAAGATTAACAGAACAGAAACTGAATAATACGTATGATTTTGTAAGAGCTTGCACCAAAACACCATACATGCTGCCAAACACAGAGGTGAACATTTCTCAGGTTTGAATTTTTGATGCAAAATATTTTTTTTATTGGAGAGCATTTAAAAGAAAATTTAACCACACCTGCATTACGTACAGTTTACTCAATCATAACTTTTTCTACACATTGAAGAGAGTTAGCTAAAGATTACAAAATGAACCCTGATGTCATTAAGTGCATCTCATTTCAAAAGGAGGGCGATATAATAAATGATGCTATTAGTTTTCAATAAAGGAAACTAAAAGTCATGATATCTCAGACTGGCAAATCTGTCTCCCTCCTTCAAAGAGGAGCGATACAATATCAATAGTATATGGCTCTGAGTGAAACCAACCTGTGACCTGTTACACTAAGGGGGTTGTAAAATGGAAAGTAAGTGTCTGGATGTTCAGGCTCAGTTGACATGTTCTTCCGAGGCTCATCAACATCTGTCTCTCAACAGTGGTAAGATATAATGAAAACAAATGAATTGCCAGAAGGATATCGAATGATGGTCGGAAATACTGTGATGACTTCCTGTACAAGCATCGCTGCACAACAAATAGCAGAGACAGACTGACAGTGGGGGCAGACAGCCCGAGTGTGCGTTGTAAAAACAGGGGAATTTAAAATTCACACACTTTATATATTCATCAGTGTGAGAAAGACACAGATCACACTCAACCCAGACACCAGCTCCCTGACTTTCCTCTATCCCATCCACAACTGCACACAGAGAGGTCTGGACTCTGTCACAGTTTTCCAGCCCTTTCTTTCCCTAAAGCCTCTTTTTAGTGACTCTGCCTTGTTTCCAGATTCTAGACACATTACGGTCAGAAGGAATTAGTCAGTTCCGGGATCAATGACAGCTGTGACTTCTTCCAAATATTGGAATTGAATAACTGCTGTATGCTTTCTAAACATTTGCTGTGAGCTGAATCCAGACAGGAAACAGGATTTTAGTGAACAATTGAGTTAATCTTCTGAATGAGTTGCTTCCCTGTAGTGGAAAAAACTAAGCTGTGCTTATGCTAATTCTAATGCTGGAAGAGCAGGACCAACAGAAAGAGAGTTTGGTTTTAAAAATTGCATTAACCAGATTTACTGAGGAGAGTTCATCTGTTGTGCAGCTGCAGAGCAGCAGAGAACCCTGAACCTCGATAGATGAGAATAAAACCTTGGTAACCATCGACTAAGATTGCAACGGCTCAAAGTGCTGAGAAGATTAAAAAATTTAAAATACATAAATGAGAATAAAATGTCACTGAAGGAAAAGTAGTTTAAAATACTTGTTGTTTTCGTGACTGCACACACACCAAACAAAATAAATATATAAATCACATCACTGAAGTGTGACTAATTAATGGACATTTTCATCAACAGATTGAATCAACAGCAGTTGCCAGAATGAATGCTGGGCCCCAGGTTGTTTGTCTGTCATTTGATTTATATTGATTTCAATTTAAGAAAACAAAAACAAAAAACAAAACATCCAAATGCATCCAATATGAACCAACATAAAAAGCAGTGAGAACATTTTTATCATTTGGCATGTGTACAGGACAGGTGCATCAGATCATTTCACATGCCCGTGGATTGGTGAAACTATACATTCGCAGTACAAGTTCTTAAAAAGCCTTTTAATAATCAAATACCAAAACCTGGAAGAATTTGGAGGCCTTGTGGGCCTTTGGACTGTGAAGCAGTTCGTCACGTAGAGCTGGAGGTAATAAAGTCATGGTTGTGATGTGAGTTGGTATTTAAAGTTATTACAAATGTCAGTGTAATGTTCAATTAATTTTTCTATGTACATGTCCTTTTCATTTTTTTTGTTCAGTTACTGTACGCTGAACTCATTTTTGCAGTCGTCTTTTGTTTATTTAAGTACAACTGTAATGACAGATATTTTCAGTAAACAGTTGGCAGGATTTGATCATTTATCTTTGTTTTCTGTTTCAAATATGCCGGACTAACCTGGAGGATTGTTTACAACCCGCCAGATCATCTAACAGCTAATGTTTCTTGAGCTGGCAGATGTCTTTTTGGTGATGTCAGCATGGCCCAGACCACTGCCATTAACTTGAAAACAATGTCATAACAACACTAATAGGAACTATGGGCGAACACGTGAAACACAGATACAAGCTTTGATACACTGTAATTATGTTTTCGTTTTTTCAAAGATCTGATGTGTGAACAATATATTTAGTCGACTCTCTGATAAAACGTGCTGCATTTATGTGCTGAGGCAACTTTTAACAAATGTCTTTTTGAGATAGGTGAGCAGAATACACAGGATTCTTATAATCACCCATATATGCCACAGACTACTGGAGTAGATTCAAAGACAAAGTCTACTGGCACTGGGGGTTAACAGGTATCACAACAATTCAGTAGGATATCCCTCCTTTGAATATTTTGTGACATGAAAAATGTGATGTGGGAGTTAAGCAGGTTTGCGGCCCTGACCAGCTGACAGCTTCAGTCATTACAGTCTCATCATCCCCAGCAGTGAGCAGCAGCGCTGCACTGGGATCACACTCTAGAGGCTGGATTGTTTTTTTGTTTGTTTATTTGTTTTCGCTGCATTAAAATATCTCCATATTTGAAAGACGCTGTCAACTTGTGCTTAAATGTTAAATAGATTCATTTTGCCAGCTCATTCTGTAGTATATCCTGGTCTGGCCACACCACAAACACTCTGACTTGTTTGTATTTCTTTAAACCAGTTGCACTCACTATGGGTGGTGCTAAACAAACATTTGCATGCAAGGAGATGAGCACTGTCAATAAAATGAATAATCCATCACAAAAAACAAACGGGGCTGCCTTACTGAGTGATCAAAATCCTCTGCAAAACTTTCGTTTTCAGTTTCATTTTAACTGCATTTGTTTGCTGCCCTGAGGTTGTTATCATAGATCTCATGGTGAAGAAAATGGTAACACACAGATGGCGGAATGATCAGCCAATGGCAGATTTATACCTGCAACCTACATCCGATGAGTCAGACTAGATGTGAAATGAGGCTTACCCTCCACTGAGGCAGCGTCGTAGAGAATAGGAGGCTCCTCCTCCACAAGTTCGAGAGCAATCACTCCAGGGACCCCAAGCATCCCATCCAATGTCTCTGTCTTCATCAGAGCGGGTCGTCCTGGACGTCTACAGATGAACAAACACAAAGATTTCAATGATTTTGTTCAGTGTAGATATTAACATACCTTTACACTAATAATACTCTGTCCACTGCATAGTGTTTCATGTTTTTCAGAGAGAATGACTGTATTTAGGCATTAGCTTTCCTAAGAGTGAAAATAGAAAAAAAAACCCAACAGGCCAAACATTGTGGTGTCAACTATTTCTCAGGCGTTTTTAACACTTGCCCTATTGCCAAGAGAGAGTCCATTTTTCTTCCAAAAGTATATGTATATAAAAATCCAAACCTACCTGGACCTGTGTGAAAAAGTAATTGCCCCTCTTATCAAATCATGAATTAACTGTGGCTAGTCACATTTTTTGGAAAGCTGAGTCTAATTTCACTGACATTGATTACCTCCAGACCTATTCAATCAAGAAATCACTTAAACAGAACCTGTCTGACAAAATGAAGTCTTCCAAGAGATCTCAAAAAGCTGCCACAAAATACTGCGATCCAAAGAAATTCATGAACAGATGAGAAATAAAGTAACTGACATCTATTAGTCTGGAAAGAGTTACAAAGCCATTTCTAAAGTTTTAGGACTCCAGCGAACCACAGTGAGAGCCATTATTCACAAATGGAGAAAACATGAAACAGTGGTGAACCTTCCCAGGAGTGGCCGGCCGACCAAAATGACCCCAAGAGCACAGCGACGACTCATCCAGGAGGTCACAAAGGAACCAGGACAACATCTAAAGAACTGCAGGCCTCCTTGCCTCAGTTCAGGTCAGTGTTCATGACTCAACAATAAGGAAGAAACTGGGCAAAAATGGCATCCATGGCAGAGTTCAAGGCCAAAACCACTGCTGACCAAAAAGATTTTGCAAACAAACATCTGAATGATCCCCAAGACTTTTGGGAGAATATTCTATGGACTGACGAGACAAACTTTTTGGAAGATGTGTGTCTTGTTACATCTGGCGTAAAGCAACACAGCATTTCAGAAAAAGTACATCATAGCAACAGTCAACCATGGTGGTAGTGTGATGGTCGGGGGCTGCTTTGCTGCTTCAGGACCTGGACGACTTGCTGTGATGGATGAAACCATGAATTCTGCTCTCTACCAGAAATTCCTGAAGGAGAATGTTCGGCCATCACTTCAGGACCTCAAGCTGAAGCGCACTTAGATTCTGCAGCAGGAAGACGATCCAAAACACACCAGTGAGTCGACCTCTGAATGACTTAAAAAAACAAAATGAAGGTTTTGAGGTGGACTAGTCAAAGTCTGGTTTGGGACCCGATTGAAATGCTGTGGCATGACCTTAAAAAGGTTGTTCATGCTCAAAAACCCTCCAGTGTTGTTAAATTAAATAAAAATATAATAAAATTGGGCCAAAATACAAAAGATCTCCACAGAGATGTGAAAGAGTTCTCAGTTCTAGAAAATGCTTGATCTCAGTTGTTGTTGCTGAGGGTGGCCCAACCAGATATGAGGTCAGGGGGCAATTACTTTTTCACACAGGGTCGGGTTGCTTTGAAAAAAAAAATATATATATATATATATGTATATATATATTCCCTAATAAATAAAATCATCATTGAAAAATTGTATTCTCTATTTACTCTGGATTTCTTTGTCTGTTATTTACATTGGTTTGATGATCTCAAACATTAAAGTGGGGGTGATATGCAAAAAAAAAAAAAAAACAGGATTTGAGAAAGGGGGCAATAATTTTTTCACAGCACTGTCTAGACATGTTTTGAATAAAACAGGTTTGCTTCTAGTCTATGGAACGAAGAGATATAGGAAGACAAATTGAACAGCGTCGACATAAACCGATGCGTGGGATGGCAAGTGTTTTTGTTTGCTTGTTTTTTATATTTCTGTACTTGTGTAAATTGTGTTTTTAGCCCCCAGGGCTTGATACAGAAACATTTAATGCTAATCAGGAAAAGCTCAGAAATGTGCAAAGAAGACTCTGGTGATGACCTGGAGAAACAACACTAATATATGTTTGTTTTCATAAATCTTTTAAATGACACCATTATCAGACAACTTTCTCATGATATGCCACTCCAAACATGGTATAGAACCTCCTCTCAATAAGATATTGGTTTCATTCCATGAACCCAAGAAACCCAAACAAAGGAAAATGGACATAACTGCTGTGTAACCAGTAGGTGTGAAAAATATTCAGTAGTAAACCTTGATCAATCTTCAGCTAAAAAAAAGCTTAAAGGCCCAGTGGGACACAGTTAAAATGTTTTTATCCTAACCTTAAAGTCCTGACTTAAATCCCATTGACAATCGTTGGACTTTGATGAAGAAACAAGTCTGTGTTAGAAAGCCATCGAAATCAGGTTAACTGCACGAATTCTGGTCAAAAAAAAAACAACCAGAAGCTTGTGGACGGCTACAAAAAGTGCCGAGTTAAGTTGAAAATGGCCAAAGGACCAAATATTAACATTAGTTGTATGTATATTTGTAACTCATTAGATTTGGTCATATTTCCAGAGGACCCATAATAAATCCATGTTTTAGCTTTGATTCAGAGGATTGACTAAACAAAATTCTGCAAATTCCTCTCCCCAAAAAAGTCCAAGAGTTTTGAAGCTTTTTTTTTTTTTGCCAGTTGCGCTCAATAAAGTATACTTTTATTGAAAATCATAAATGGTAGGGGATTTTAATAATATTTTAAACGAGAAAAATAATTTTGACCAAAAGGTGAGAGTATACATTCATGCCAGGCAAAAAACTAGAACCCTAATGAAGATGTTTTCATGTGTCTGCTTTAGAAGGTTAAAATATATATTGGAGGAACTGTGTCAACTATGTCACAAATATCTGGATAAAAAATACCACAAAACAAATCCAAATTTTAAGGCAGGACAAGCCTAAAGACATTATTTTACACTTACTACTATGTCATACAGTTTGATATAATTCAATCTATACTCGAACCCAGCCTGATTCAATCCAGTGACTTCTGATACTTGGTGCTCGGCCACTGTTCTATTTCACACAGTGTTATCCCATTGGGAGTGTAAAAGAGAGCAGCAATTAGTACAGGCCACAGTCCTGTGATAAAGTCATCTGTTTAAGGCAAGTAGTCTCTAAAAGCTGTTACAGCCGCCATGCATCTCACCCTCAACCTTTCTGCTATCTTATCTGCTGTGTAAAAAGCTCAGATGAAAGACAGGGAGCAACGGTGAGTAAGACTGTGATAGAGAGAGGGAGAGATGGAAAGAGTGAGGGTTTCCTGGCTGTGTGTCACCAAAAATAGGAAAATTGGCTTCCTTGGGTCAGTGATGTCACCACCGACTCTGTTATGCCAGACAAAAAAAGGAATCCCATACTGGAGCTGCTTGTGTGTGTGTGTGTGTGTGTGTGTGTGTGTGTGCGTGCATGCATGCGTGGGCATGTATGTGAAAGAGGAAAACTGAAGCACAATGAAGTATTTATGGAAAATACTGTAAGTCAGAAAAGGAAAGAACTGAGCCTTTGAGAGTGCTTTAAATTGTTCCCTTGACCCTGTATTTCTCTGGACCAATAGTCCAAATGGCAGCTTATTATACAAATGTGAAAACTGCTTTTTCCTGGAGAGGTGACATTGAAGGCCTTCCACCAAAACATTTTTTTCCTGTGTCAGGAATCTCACAGCACAGAAACAAACTGTAATTCCTCTGACAATGTTATTTATGCCTGGTCAACCAGAATTAACATTTCTGACATGCCTCTGCAGGTTTCATTTCACCCTGCCTTCCAGGCCTGGATCACCAGCACACATAGTAGCCGGCAGAGCAAAACACTTTGCAGTCAACTTGTTCCATCATATCCACAAATGTTTTGGATCGATCCGTGCATCTTGGGCTCTTGCACTGATGGGGAAATCTGTATTTTCTTGTTTTTTTCTGCCTGCTGCATCCAGTGAGACAGACTGATCCACTAGAGAGGAATTAGACACGTTAGCACTCTGCTAATAGGATAAAACCACCTTTTGTTGTCGGGCTCAGCCGGCTAACAGGCACCACAGACCTCCAACAGTAATAACATCGGCATGAGAAGAATCTGTCCAGCCAAGGGTTTTTTGGCCTGGATAGCCACCCGGTCCTATTGTGTTTGTGCTGCATAGTTCAGTATCAGCAATATGTGTCCACTGACAACCCAGATGACCTGGGCATGTACAGTATATTTCTAAATATAGAAAGAAAGAAAGAAAGAAAGAAAGAAAGAAAGAAAGAAAGAAAGAAAGAAAGGTTTAACATGGCACTAAGTCAACCGATACATGTAAGTTCCATTGGTACTACTAAGGCGCCATCATTAGTTAGTGAGAATCACTTCATTACAGGTTTTCCCAAACTGCCTACTGGAACCGCCAATGTTGTCAAAAAATTAATTTAAGGGGTTACAAGATAAGATGAGAAACAAAACAAGAAAACCATTCTGGTACACAAATGATATGTTGTTACTATACTGTGAACATCGGCTGCAGGAGGTGGTCGGGGTGGATGGCAGGCATGCCGAGTACTTTCACACATCAGAGACTGTGGTTCCTATCATGACTCTTCAGCTATCTTCACCTATCAGCCCCAAAACCAGTTTTATTAAAGGCCAACAACAAATCTATGAAGCATTAATAAAGAATTCCATACCCATTTTTTTCTTCTTTTTTTTTTATACATCTGAGAAAAACATTACATAAAATTCAAGTTTTATAAATCTAATCTGATTCTTAATCCTAGAGTCAGAACACTTTGGAGCTTTGGCCATTTCCTAGAACACTAAAAGAATTAACTTTGTGACAAGTTCCTTCAGCATGTTTTGCACTGATTAAATTTTAGATATGATTGACTTAAACTAACCCTGTGCTATAAAGTAAAAGGTCAGCGACTAGTGGGACAATCTAAGTCATCCCTTCATTTACCGATTGATTCATTCATAGTTTTTTGTGCCTTCTTTTCCTGCATTAATCCCAAATTGCATCATAAATTTTCCTCTTTGTCTGAAAATCATGAAACATGT